TCTCTTTGGGTTAACCCTTTATGGGACTCTCTGGACGTCTGTGGCTGTTTACTTTCCCAGGTCAGGGAAGTTCTCAGCTATTATGTCTTCAAATATGTTCTCAGCCCCTTTCTCTCTCTTTTCCTTCAGGGACCCCTATAATGTGAATATTAGTGTGTGACCGGGGGATTTTTGCAGAAACTAATGCCTGTGGCCAGCAATTTTTATTTTGGCTGGCCAAAAAGTAACTGTTATTATTTCACTAACAGTTTGCGTGTTATTACATTCAGTAGTTAAACCTGACACACCTGTAAAGTCTTCTAATTTTCATGAACTGTTGTCTTCAATCCACTCTTTTGTAGTAGCAAAGGAGCATTCTCCAGCACTGTGAGTTCTGTTTTCACTTTCTGTATCAGAATCGATCACTAAGGTTTTTTGTCTTTTTTTGGTCTTATCTTCACATCATCTGAATCAGAACTGTATTCTGAAGAGCTATCATCTTCTGAGACACCAGTCGACATACGTTGCTCAGACAGTCAGAGTATCTGCATAAAATTCACCAAAAAATTCTTCTTCACTCAAAATTTCATGATGTGTCATTTTTGAAAATTTTACGTTTGTAATATACACAGGGTTGGCACAAAAACCTAACGGAGCAAAATGTAAATGATAACAACAATCATAAGTTGTATAATGAACCCTTGATCAATTTTAAGCTCTAACAGCTTTGCACAGTGATGTTAATTGTATCACTCTCTAAAAACATACTGATAATGTCTCTGGTCAGAGACTTTAAACTGCCTTCATTTCTTTTCATTCTTTGTGTTCAGCATCAGTCATTTCCACTATGTCTTTTCTGTCTTCCAGCTCACTGATCTGTTCCTCTGTATCATTCAGTCAACTGTTGATTCCTTCTAGTATATTTTTCCTTTCAGTTATTGTATTCTTCATCTCTGGTTGTTCTTTATTTTCTAACTAACTCTGTTAAAAACTTCTGACTTCTTGCTCTACGCATCCATTCTTCTCCCAAGTTCTTTGTTCATCTTTACGATCACTACCCTGAACACTTTCTTGGGTGGATTGCCCGTCTCCACTTCACTTCATTCTTCTTCTGGGGTTTTACCTTGTTCCTTTGTCTGGAGCATGTTCCTCTGTCACCTCATTTTGCCTGTTTTTTGTTTTGTTGTTTTAATGTATATGGTAGGTTAGTTAGGTTTCTAGACCTTGGAGAAGTGGCCTTCTGTAGGAGACACCCTGTGTCCCAGCAACACAATTCCCTCTTATCACCCAAGCCATATGCTCTAGGAGTTCCCCCTATGGTTGGTCCTTCTCTTGTGACAGGCTGACTGTGTGGGTGGTCTGGTAGGTTTGGTTGGCCCCCAGTCCAGTTGGGTGTCAGACCCTGCCTTGTGCAGAAGCTGCCGACTGCTGGTTGACAGGGCCGGGTCACGAGGCAGCTGACTGCAGAACCTCAGGGGGCCCTGGGGCTGGTGCTGGCTCACTGGTGTGTGGAGTCAGGGTCCAGAAGATGCTGGGGCTGTTGTCTGCCCCCTGGTGGATGAAGCCAGGTCCTGGCGTTAGTGCTAGACTACTGGCAGTCAGAGCCTGGTCCTGGAGTCTGGTTACAGGGCCCAAGGGTCTTAGAGCTGGTGTCAGATGGCTGGTTGGGTGGGGGTGTTCCTGACACAGTTGGGTACAGGATCCAGGGTGTCCCAAAGCTTGTGTTGGCCTGCTGGTGGGGAGGCTGGTCCAGAGGCTAGAGCAGGCTTCCTGGAGGGCTGGGGCAGGCCCAGGAGATTCTGGAGCTGGTGCCTTCCCACTGGTAGGTGGGGCTGGGTCTTGGACCCTCTGGTGGACAGGGCCATGTCTAAAGGCAGCTGGGCTCACAAGTTCTTAAGGCAGCTGTCTGCTGATGGGTGGGGCTGTGTCCCCAACCCAGTTAGTTGCTTGGCCTGAGGCATTCCAGCACTGGGTCAGGTCTTGGCACTAATGAGCTAGGGGGAGGATTCCACAATGGCACCCACCAGCACCAGTGTCCAAGTGGTAGGAGGAGCTCCCCAGAATGGCTGCCACCAGTGTCTGTGTCCCCAAGGTGAGCTGCAGTTGCCTCCTGCCCCTCCAGGAGACTCTGCAAGACCAGCAAGTAGGTCTGACCCAGGCTCCTACCAAATTACTGCCTTTGTCCTGGATCCCAGAACATGCGAGATTTTGTGTGTGCCCTTTAAGAGTGAAGTCTCTATTTCCCTAGTCCTCTGGGACTCCTGAAATTAAGCCCCACTGACATTCAAAGCCAATTCCCTGGGGGCTCGTCTTCCCAGTGCAGGACCCCCAGGCTAGGGAGCCCAACATGGGCCTCAGAACTCTCACTTCTGTGGGAGAACCTATGCAATGTAATTATTCTCTAGTCTGTGGGTCACCCACTTGGGGACGTGGGACTTAACTGTATCACCAGGCCACCATCCCTACCCGTCTCCTTCTGGTTCCTTCTTTACGTCTTCTGTTGTAGACCTTTTCTGGGAGGCTCTGATTTTTTCGTCCATATGGTGGTTTTGCACTTAGTTGTGATTTTGGTGTGTGCTCGTGAGAGCAGGTGAGCTCAAGGACTTTCTTCTCTGCCATGTTGGCTGAACTCCTCCACCGCTGTAAAATTACGAGGACTAAACGGTGTTCTTTATCCCACTTGTCTCCCTTCCTTCACCTTGCTCTGAAGCCTGTCTGCTCCTAGTTGGCTATTTTTCAGATATGATTCCTTCTAGTGGTTCAGTTACTCACTTATGACCCTGGGAAACAAGTAAATAATACTTAGGAAATTAGAGGAAAGAAAAGAATGGGGCCAAGAGGAGGAAATGGGAACACAAGCCCCCATGCTGAAGTGGAGCGGCCACTCGGCACTCTCCTACCCAGGCCTCATCTGGGTGTCCCAGCCTCTGCCTTCTCAGCGACTGACCTTGTTCCAGATTCCTGAGAAGGTGGGATGGTAAATGATTCTGTTCATGTCCTGGCTGGCTGATACCCCACTGGAAGACTCTGTCACTAGGCTCAGTTGTAACAGGTGTTCAACCAGAAAGGTGAAGGGAAAGAACCCAGCAGCACGTTGCAGATCCTGGCCAGCGATGTCTTTCAACTGAGAAAGCCAATGCAAGATTCTTCCAGGGGGGCACTCTTGGGATTTTGGACAGAGCAGTTCTTTTTGTTGGCCACCCTAGACATTTAGCACCACCCCACGTCCCCACACACCCCCAATGCAAACAGTAATCCCCTGCGATTGTGACAGCCAAGTTGTCAGGATTCTCTACTCGAGAACTGCTATTTAGAACTACATTTCCAGTCAGGGATACAGTACTGCCTTTAGTTGAAAACCTTTCATCACACTACAAACTAGAGAGCTGCGTGGAAGAGTGGGTTAGGGAGAGACACACATGTCGTAGGGGTGTGTGTGTGTGTGTGTGTGTGTGTGTGTGTGTGTGTGTGTGTGT